TCCATTCCATTCTATCTCTGTTCTGTTCTATTCTATTCCATTCCATTCTATCTCTGTTCTGTTCTATACCATTCCATTCCATTCTATCTCTGTTCTGTTCTATTCTATTCCATTCCATTCTATCTCTGTTCTGTTCTATACCATTCCATTCCATTCTATCTCTGTTCTGTTCTATTCTATTCTATTCTATTCTATTCTATTCTATTCCATTCCATTCCATTCCATTCCATCTCTGTTTTGTTCTGTTCTGTTCTATTTTATTCTATTCTATTCTGTGATAATTAAAGTAGATCCTGGTGAAAGGATTAGGGAGAGGATAAGAGCTACTCAGCTGCAGAACTACAACGCGATGAGGTTGCCTGTGCTGGGTCTGCTTGAGTAGACCACACTGGTTTGGGCTGGGGGGGAGGGGTTTCCTGAGCAGGGCTGGACTAGATGGCCTCTAAGATTCAGGGCTTCGGAGCTGCTGAAGAAAGAGGAAGGGTTTGGAAAGGCAGGAAGGCTGGTTTACCAAGTCAATGCAGTGTGTTCATATTGTCACTGCCCCACTCCAAACACTCCCCCCCCCCACAAGCTCGATCTCTTCTCTGCCCCCAACCCCCACCCCAGACGGTGAGGAGTAACCTGAGCCGCGATAGCAACGTGGTGAAAGAGAGCGTCCTCCACTTGACGGACCAGATGAAGCGCTATGAGAACTACTCGGATATCATGCTAGGCCTGAAGAAGGAGCTTTCGAATCTGGAGCATCAGCTGCTGCAGAAAGATGCCTCCGTCACAAGTCCAGAGCACCAGGTGCAGGTGAGCCCCCCCCCCCCCGGTCGCTCTGGCTAGAATGCGCCAGTCATACCTCCTCCAACCTCTGGATCCGTTTGCTTGCTTGCCTGCGACCCCTGTTTCTTTCTTCCTGGAACTTCCTCCCAGGTTCCTTCCTTGAGTTTGACCTTGATTCCCTTTCCTGCGAGGATCTGCTTCGACCGAAATGGCTTTATAACCACCCGCCGGCACAGATCCTAAGAGTTAAAACTTCTCCCGTCCGTCTCTGCAGGGCTGTTGTGTCTCTCTCCTCATTTTAGGACACAGCAAGGCACAAGGAGAGCGTTCAGAAATACGCCGGTCCTCGGAAAAGTCTGGGGGACAAAGAGATCCCCAAAATTCCCAGGGAGAAGGCAGAAAAAACGAGGAAGGAAAGTGCCAAGGGCAGGACGGGTCTCCCACCACCCACTTCTAAGTCCAATTCCTCCAGGGAACGGACTTCCATCCGGGGCCACCTGTACTACAAAGCGGGGCACCAAGCAGGAGCAGAGGGGGTGGCAAGCAGCCACGGTGAGTAAGGGTGGGGGAGAGACTTTTCTCCATTGCCTTTGTAGCTGTTGTGGATGAAGCTTCGCAAGAGCCTGAAGGAAACTCCTGGTCCCCACAAAAAATCCCTTTTATTAATTTGCTGTGAATTCTGCTCCTTCACCTCCATCAAAGTCTTTCAAAGGAGGATTTACAGTCACAGACCTTATCTGGCTTGGAGAGCTGCCAGGCCAATCTCTGCCGAGGCTCGGAGAGTCACGAACCAATGAAGCGAACTAATGGTCTCCTGCAAACTCCACTCCCCTTTCGCTCCTCTTTATTCCTGACAGGAGGGGCCATTTACTGTCCATCTGGGCCTTTACTCCTAAATTGGTCCTTAGCTGTTCCCTTCGTCTGGCAACTCTGCACATGCGCACACTGGGAACAGGCTCCAGCTGTTCATCTGCCTCACTGATGTCTGACTCAGAAGGCAGCTAATAACTAGCATACAGTCCTGGCCCCCTCTCTGCCTCCGACACAGAGCCCACCTCAGACCCTTCCCCAGACTCCAGGAGTGGTCCCTCTTCCTCCCCAACCTCCTCACTGTCCGAATCTGCTGCCAGCTCTCCTGGCGGGCCTCAACAGTAGCGTGGAACACTGTTATAAGTCGAGGGTTACCATTTGTGGGGAAATCCCCAGCTTTGGCCTTGCTAAGAATGCTCCTCTCTTGCAGAAAACCCTGGGAAAGAAGCTGGACTCAAACCACTGGACCAAGAGACCCTCCCCAGGTCGGAAGAAAGTCCTCCTACCTCTTCCCCTGACAACGCCACCTCCGTGGCCCCCACCACCAGCATCGGCGCCACGCTCCAAAGTCGACGTGGCCCTCCTCTGCTCTCCAGGAGACGTGGCAACGTTCCCGAGGTCCCTCCCCCACCCAGCCACGGTATGTGTGAATCCTACCTCCCTCGGTGGTTGGGGGCCTCCTTCACTGGGATTTGAGCTGGCATACGCAGCACTGGGGTATCCCCAGCTCTCCCCATCCTCTCTCCCTTGGACCCGCAGCCCACGAGGCCTCGTGCGAGGGGACCCTAAAGTCGGTGGAGCCCCCCGAGAAGCAGCACAGCTACGGTCGTAACGAGGGCGCCTGGATGAAGGACCCAGCAGCCACCGATGACCGGATCTACGTGGCCAACTACTATTACGGGAACAGCCTACTGGAATTCCGCAATTTGGAGAATTTCAAGCAAGGTGAGGAAGGGCTGGTGGGGGGGCTGCAAAGGTAAGTGAGGGTGGGTTGTCCGTGGACTGAGCCATGGTTTGTGAACTGGGGCCAGCTGAAGAAGCCACGGTAGTGTCGCGTGTCCTGGCTTTAGTTTGTAACCACAAGGACTAAGTGAGGCTTAAAAGACCTTCCCAAACATGGAAGAGATACCAATAAAAAGAGGATTTAGTTGGTTTCTTTTTCTCTTGTTGCCCTTTGTTCTATTCCTTCCTCCTTTCCTTCCTCTCATTCTCATCTTCTTTCCTTCCTTCCTTCCTCTGAATCTCCTTCCTTCCTTTAATTCATATCTTCCTCTTTCTCATCTTCTTCCTCCTTCCTTCCATTCCTTTCTTCCTCTCATTCCTTCCTCTTTCTCATCTCCTTCCTCTCATTCTCATCTCCTTCTTTCCCGTCCTTTCCTCTCATTCTCATCTCCCTTCCTTCCTTCCTTCCTTCCTTCCTTCCTTCCTTCCTTCCTTCCTTCCTCTTAATCTCCTTCCTTCCTTTAATTCTCTTCTTCCTTCCTCTTTCTCATCTTCTTCCTTCCCTTCCTTTCTTCCTCTCATTCTCATCTCCCTTCTTTCCTTCCTCTAATTTTAATCTTTCTTCTTCTTTCTCATCTTCTTCCTTCCTTCCTTCCTCTCATTCTAATTTCCTTTCTTTCCTTCCTAAATCTCTTCCTTTCTCTTTCTCATCTCCTTCCTCCCTCTTTTCTTTCTTTCCTTCCTCTCATTCTCATATCTTCTTTCTTTCCTTCCTTCCTTCCTTCCTTCTTTCCTTCCTCTAATTCTAATCTTTCTTCCTCTTCCTCCTTCCTTCCTCTCATTCTCATCTCTTCTTTCCTCTCATTCTCATCTCTTCTTTCCTCTCATTCTCATCTCCCGTCTTTCTTTCCTTCCTTCCTCTCATTCTAATCTTTCTTCCTCTTTCTCACCTCCTTCCTTCCTTCCTCTCATTCTCATCTCCGTTCCTTCTTTCCTTCCTTCCCTCCCTCCCTCCCTCCCTCATTTCCATAGCTACCCCATTCTTCTTTTTTTCTGCTTTCTAATTTTTCCGGGTGCTTCTCCTGCTTGGATGATCCTCCCCAATTTGAAAGCAAAGCGGATTCTTAAAAAAAGAAGTTGTCAGAGGTTTCCCTGCCTGCCCTTTCCCTGAGCTGGTTCCCGGCCAGCTCCTTTGGCCGGGAGTTTCCCATGGATGGTGAAAACAACTCCGCGGCAAACCCAGGGGAAAAAGATTGCTTTGGGAGACTGCGGGGTGAGTCGCTAAGAGAACTCTTCTCTTTTGGGGGTCTGAGATCTGAGCGGGGGGGGGGGGTCCTGCCCTTTAAAATGCCTCTTTAATTTTAATTTTTGTGTTAAGCCGACTTTTGTAAATAGTCTGCTCACGACTCCCACTGGAATTTAAGACACGCGGACCTCGTGACCTGCACACAAACAATTGCTTTGGTCGAGACACAGATGTTCTATGCCAGCTGGGTTTTGGGGAGACGCTGCGCTGCCTGAAATAGCTTCCCGTCAAGAGCGGGTTGAATGAATAAAGGGATAATGGAAGACGGGAGCCTGTCTTTTTCCCACCGTTACTTCCCTTTTTTTCCTTCCTTCCCCATCTCCTCCTTCCTTTCTTTCTTTCCTTCCTTTTTCTTCCTTCCCTTTTTTCCTTCCTTCCCCATCCCTACCCTCCCTTCTTTTCCTTTCTTCCCTTTTTCTTCCATCCATCCCTTTTTTCCTTCCATCCCCATCCCCTCCCTTTCCCTCCCTCCCTCCCTCCCTCTCTTCTTCCTTCCTTCCTTCCTTCCTTCCTTCCTTCCTTCCTTCCTTATTCCTTCCTTCCTCATCCCCTCCCTCCCTTCTTTCTATCCTTTTTCCTTCCTTCCCCATCCCCTCCCTTTCCCTCCCTTCTTCCTTCCTTCCTTATTCCTTGCTTCCTCATCCCCTCCCTTCTTTCTATCCTTTTTTCTTCCTTCCTTCCTTACCCATCCCCTCCCTTTCCCTCCCTTCTTTCCACCTTCCTTATTCCTTCCTTCCCCATCCCCTCTCCCTTTCTTTCCTTTTTCTTCCTTCCCTTTTTTCCTTCCTTCGCCATCCCCTCACTTTCCCTCCCTTCTTCCTTCCTTCCTTATTCCTTCCTTCCCCGTCCCCTCCCTCCCTTCTTTCTTTCCTTCCTTTCTTCCCTTTTTTCTTCCTTCCTGCCCTTCCCCTCCCTTAC